TTTTAGTTCACTACTGTATTCCCAGCAACTTAACAGTGCCTGGCACAGAAGAGATACTCAATAAATGTGTTCAATGAATCAATTCCATGCAGGGTGAGGTGAGGATGACAAGTGTGATGCCCAGATTCCTGACTTTTAGGGGTGCACAACGAGAGCAAGAACACAAGCAGAGAAGCTGATTGGTAGGCAGGTCAGAGGGGCAGAAAATAGGGGGACTGTGTCATTTTGAAAGATTTTGCTACCCTTCAACATGAGAATCAAAATCCCATCTACGATAAGGTAATTTCTCCACAAGAGAGCAGAAAACATAAGCTATCAAAATGAATTTTGGGGGAAAGTACTTTTTTAACAAAATGTTTTGATGCTTATTCTTTTGGGTCTCAAAAAACACTTTAATCTCCCCGTATTCCACCATGCTTCCACAAGATCACCAACCATGTCAAACAATTCTAAGAGTTACTTTTTGGGTACATGTTAAAAATACCAATTTTATAGTAAACAAAAAATCAGGCCTTACTCAATCACCTGTGAAATAGTTATATGAGTAACATCTATCTGATTCAAAATTTTTTCTATTAAAACTTACATTGGTGAGATTGCTAGAGTGAGCATATGTGCCTATTTCCCTTCCTGCCACTCATGTTCAAATGACACAAAAAAGACAAAATGACAAACATATGTATTTCCTAAACAGATCTCTGTGTTCAGCTTGAAGAGAGAGGGAAAAGGATACCATATTAGGAAACAAGAAATTTTGAGTGATTTATGAAATTTTCAAGCAGGTATAGAAACTAGAGTGTTCAAATTATTATAGGAGAAAAATATGTACTATGAAGTTAAAAGTTATTCCGGTTACCATTCAGGATCAAAATAAACCAAGGCAGGGAACAGGAGAGGGTCCTGGGAGCAAACTAAAAGTAATGAATTAAAGGACTTCCCTTAGAATAACTATGCCCAGAAATTCCATATCTACAAATTTTAGCCAACAGACATACTCACCCATGTGCATACACAGATATTCACTGCAACTGTGTTCGGCAAAAGATGGAGAATGATCCAAATGTTCATTAGCAGAAGGCTGGTTAAATAAATCATGGTACATGCATATAATGAAACATTATGCAGGCAACAAATAATGGTACCCATCTCCCTGTGGTTGAATGGAATGGTCTCCAGGATAAACTGTCAAGTGGAAAAAGCAAAGCGTAGAAAAGTGTATAAAGCTTGCTGCCACTTATGTGAAATGGAAACCTGTTTGTATGTGTATAGAACATCTCTAAAACTGGAAATACTGGTTTGCTTTGTTGAGGAGAACCAGATTACTGAGGACAGGAGTGATACACTTAATTTTCACCATTTGTGTTTATATTACGTGTTCAAATATATCATATTTTTAAAGGCAAGAAATAGTGTGGAAGAGAAATGATAAAGTCGAGAAAATAGAAAACATAAAATAATTTGGGAGAAATAAGACAAAAAAAATCAGAAATCATATTAAGTGTATCTCTAGTTTTTCCTGTAATTAAGAGAGATAGTTGGTTTTAGGGGAAAAATCTAGCCTTGCTGTTTACAAGATATTAATACATACCTCAAATGCAATGACACAGAAAAGTGACAAATAACCAGATGGAATAATATACCAGACAAATCCTAATCCCTCAAAAGTATGTGTGGCAATTATAATATTATAAAACAAAATATAATACAAAGCAACAGCATTAAATAGGAAGGGATGATATCATATGTTGATAAGAAGTGTAATCCACAAAGAACATAGATTATCATGAATATTTACACATTTATAAAAAGCTTCAAAACATACTTTGTTTTCAAAGACTGTTTATTTTCAAGGGATAATTATGAAGTGTATAATCATAATAAGAGATTTTAACATGCCCTCAGAAGTCAACAAAGAAGACAAATAAGAAATAAGTAAATGCACAGAGGATTTGAATTTAAAAAATAGTAAGTCTAATCTATTTTATATATATCGAACTCTGTATCTAGCAAATAGAGAATGCACACTCTTTTCAAAGTACCATGTTTACAAAATGCTGCACAAACCAAGGAATTTTTACCTACATATCATACTCCAAAGCTACTATTTTGATTCATTGCCCAACCAAGAATATTTAATATCACCTGATTTTTTTGAATCTTTGCCAACACAGGGGCTTTGGTAGGAGATGAAGACTGGTTTTTCTTGTTTGACTTCTTTAATTCTGAAGCAGGGATATAAATTATGCAATTAATATTTTTAAGCATTTTAATTTCAAATAACAAAGTTTTTGAGTCATGATGAAGATGTAATATCTCAGGTCAGCCAAGGCAAAATTATAAAATAACTTTTTTTTATGGAGCCTCCAGTCTCCCTTTGGTGCTCCCTTTTCCTCTTTTTAAGACACCCTTCTCCCTCGCAGTTTCACCCCCAGGTCCTTGGGTTCTTCAACCCAAGCATATCAGGACTGGGCATGAACAGGTGGGCAACCATTGTTCCCACATCAGCTTTCCAGAAAAACTTTAAAGCCTTGTTGTGCCATAACATTGCAAGTTCCTTGACAAACAACAGTACATATGTTCATAGACCTTTCCCCAGAAATCCTTCAGAAACTCTACATTTATCTATCTTTCTTTCACCAACCTCAAATCTAAATCTGTTGCTAAAAAGCCTGATAATCTTGTATTTCAGGGTAAATTTAATGTGTCTATTTGCTGCCTCAGAAGAATTTCCATCTGAAATGTTATCTCTAATTACGCAGTGAAATTTAGGCATCAGCAGAACAAGTAGGTCAGATGTTTAAAGAACTCCATTTGATGCCTAATTTCTTAATTCTCTTAAACAATGAGCTCAGATGTTATCCTGATTCTCCTCAGCTTGCTACCAGCTAACTACAAGATACATGGTAATACCTTTCAGACCAAAACCAGCCTTGGCTTAAAGAGTTCTAATAACTTAAAGAGTTAGCCAGAGTTCCACCTTAGCCTCCTGTGGACCCCAAATTTTCTTCTCAATTCAGGCATCCCTTCCTGAGTTCAGAGTATCAAATAGCTGCCTCTCAACTCCCAAAGGAGTCTCTAGGAGTATCAATAGTGGTTTGGGACAATGTCCACAAGGCACCTTGGCCAAACCCATTGTTAAACTGAAGCAGATTTCTGTGCAAATTTGAGTTGGAACACACCCCCTCCTTACAATCCTTACCAGAGATCACAACTGTGGCCCATGACCCAAACATAGTGCATAGATGCATTTTGTTTGTCTCTCTATATTTTTTAACTTTTTGAGTTCAAATGTCTATGGAGGTGTTTCAACTTGCAACATCTGCCTTAACACTACTCATTCTAGGCTCTGACCTTGGGACATAAACAAGTACAACGGAGTCAGGTAGCTCACAAGTCAGGTGCTTGTTTTATCTTCCCTGCCACATCATTTCTTTTCCCAATATTTAAGGCACAGACAAAAAGGTGAGAGCTATTGAATTCCAATCACAACTGTCCTTATAGCTCAGTGTGTGACCTTAAACAAGTTACATTATCTCTATGAGAGACACTAGAGGATTTCTCAGGCAACTAATAGTTTAACAGCCTATGATTCTTTGTGCTCTTTTCTCTCCACCATAGTGACAAAACTTAGAATTATATATTAGGAAATCCTATTATGACTACTTCCTATGTAGTTCAAAATAGACAAGCACTATTATGATTCCATTTTACAGATGGAGAAACCTGACACATGAAACAGTTGAGTGCAATAGTAACTCAGGGTGGATAATCAAACAACATGTTGGCTTCCCTACAAAGCTTCCTCTGACTTGGAAAATAAAATCTTTGTTATTTTTAAGCATTATTTGGGACTTTTTCCTCCGCCTTTTTCTCTACCATTAGTTGTTACTATCCCAGAAGTTGAAATTTATGCCTGAGGCGCCACATAGTTATGTTGTCTGTATATTAAAATGTCATTTTGTCAGCCACCCTCTATCTGTATCAGTCAATCCACGGACTTTGTGACAATCACGCTTTTCAATGAAAATACACAGTCAGCCGTACTCTGCCAACACTACCATGTACTTTTACCCATTTGCTTTGGTTGAAGTTATCTTCTGCTCTATTACATGGGTCTATGAGCAGCTGTACTGTGCTATGTAGGACTTCTGGACCTGGATAGCTTAGCCTTATTAATTTCTCCATCTGTCTATAATCTAAAAGTTCAAATCAATGGTGAGTTGATTACATACTTATGTATATCTATCTTTATGTATATTCATATATTTATTTTGTGTATTTACATAAGATTAGCAAGAGTGGAAGGTAACGTATTTGAAAATATACATCACTATGCTTGACACATAGAAAGGCCCCAAAATCATAGTATTATTTTTTTTCATTGTGGGAGAAGGCTGTCTTAGTCCATTCAGACTGCTATAACAAAATATCAGAAACTGGGTGGCTTACAAACAACAGAAATTTATTTCTCACAGTCCTGGAGGCTGGGACATCCAAGATCAAGGCTCCACAGATTCCTGGGCTAATATATTTATGTTTAGGGTCCATAAAGAGCAGCTTCTAGCTATGTCCTCACATGGGAAAAGGGAAAAATCAGGTCTCTGAGGCCTCTTTTATAATGGCACTAATTTTATTATGATCACTAATCATGACCTAATCATCTCTCAAAGGCCCCACCTCCTAAAGCCATCACATTGGTCCTTCAGTTTCAACATATGAATTTCTGGGGGACACAGTTATTCAGACCATAGTGGGGATTATATTATTATAATCATGACCAATGCAATAATAAGAGGTCTCTGTTTGGAAGTTAATGAAGTATCTTCCTCTTAAAGAATTACAGAGCCTTCTCATTAGATTCTTGTTCTATGTGCTTGCCTTGTGGTTAGGAATCTACTTTATAGATAGTAACATGGTCTCTGTTCAGATGTGGTCTCATTGACTTAACTTCTTTCAGGGGAAAAATGCATTGCTAATGGTCACCTTGTCTCAAATTGCAGATTACGGTATTTCGGATGGGATCAGAAGGACACCAGGACATTGATTTAGCTATCCTGACAGCTTTACTCAAAGGTAAAAGAGTTTCTCTGTCCAGAGAATGCAAAAAGAATTTAAATGGATTAACACAGCAATGTATGTCTTTTAATAGTGGATATAATCCCAAATGATACTATGGCACATTAAGTTACTGATAACATAAGGTACCTTGCCTCTAAGACACTGTTACTGCTATTAAATTCTCCTAGAATAGATCTTTTATACTGTGACTTTTACAAGATTTAAATATACTACAATTCATGTTCCACTGAATTATAAACATATATAAAGAAAAAGGCTGACATAATATGTAAAGCACAAGATTACCTGAGGTTATTTAATAAAATTATTATCCTATCTACTTTCAAAAACCATTTGACATGGCATATGTGTGGGTATGTGTGTGTGTGTATGTGTATATATGTGTATATACACACTCACACAAACAGTACATTAAAAATGGAAAATCAAACACCATAGAGAGGAAGGGAGAAAGAAATAAACCAAAAAAAAAATATATATATATACCAAAAAATATATATATTTATATATATAAATAAACCAAAAAATATATATATATAAAGACAGTAGTCTTTGTTATAGTTGAGCATTAAATTTAACTTTAAGCTTCCTGGGAGTGAAAAATAAAATGGAAATACTCTGAGTTGTAGGATTTTGATTTATAAGGTGAGTGTTTTCCTATTCTCCAGTCCCAATATTACAAAGGTATCTCACTACATGTCTCATCCTTGGAGCCATATCCAACAGCAGTTTCCTGTAGGTTCCACAGATCAAATCCCATCTTTAATGTGCCCTAATGAGTATATTACACTCAACTAACAATTTTCAGTATTCAAATAAACAAGAGGAAGTTGCCCTGCAGCACTAAAATTCAAATGGAAGTATAAAACAAAACAAATCCACAAATCTCACTGAATGTGGTTCTGGGTTACAAACATCTCTTACGTTGTCCCTTGGCCCCATAGTCTGTCTGCTGCAGTGTTAGCACATGGTTGGTCACTACCTGTGTGTCGTCTCCCTAGATTATAAACTCTATGAGGGCAAAGAATGTATCTTGTTCATGACTACATCCTCAGCACTTTGCACAAGCTTAGCACTGATAGAATACCATCATCTTTTTTAGTAAATGAAGAGATGAATGATTTTTCAGTGATTCAGGGACAGATTCAGTATTCCAAAATTAAAATTCAGAATAGTTAACTCTTTCATTCTATTTTCTAGTCTGCATACTCTTCCTCCACTATTAATATTTTCTTCAGGCCTCATGATGTGGCAGCCACTGTGCTAAGCTCTTTGCAAATACTGTAAACATTGATTACTGCAACAACTATGTAGTGTAGGAGCTATTTTTAACCTCTATTTTATGGATGGGGTAAGTGGAGCTACAAGAGGTGGTAACTTGGTAGAGGTTACAGTGCTAGGTAGTAAACCTGGATGTAAGTCCAAGTATGTCTAACTTTTCACTATACCACATTCACTATACCACCCTTTGACAATAGTAGTCGTCTGTCCTCTCCACCCACTCCCCAAATACATATGTGCACGTTCATTCAAAATCCTCATTGCAGCCAGGCGGGGTGGCTCACACCTGTAATCCTAGCATTCTGGGAGGCCGAGGTGGGCGGATAGCTCAAGGTGAGGAGTTTGAGACCAGCCTGAGCAAGAGTGAGACCCATCTCTACTATAAATAGAAAGAAATTAATTGGCCAACTAAAACTATATAGAAAAAATTAGCTGGGCATAGTGGCGCATGCCTGTAGTCCCAGCTACTCAGGAGGCTGAGGCAGAAGGATCCCTTGAGCCCAGGATTGTTTGAGGTTACTGTGAGCTAGGCTGATGTCATGGCACTCTAGCCCGGGCAACACAGTGAGACTCTGTCTAAAAAAAAAAAAATAGAAAAGAAAAATCCTCATTGCTTTTCAAGAGGTTCACAATCCCATGAAGTGTATCATGTGCCCCAGGTTGAGAACCTCTTCTGTAAAGCATTTCCTTCCCGTGAACAAAAAAAATACAAACACTGTTCGCATTTGGGACCAGGACTATGCATGGGCTGAACCACAAAGCCTACTATGGGCTCCACTCTCCCCTCATCAGAGACAAAAATAAAAATTTGAGGCAAGTAACTCTATGATAGTTGCTCTTCTTATATAAAGATTTTAAAAAGTAATTATGTTGGTAACTAACATTTATTAAGGACTTGCTATGTGCCAAATAGCATGCATTCCATGTATAAATTTGTTTGTTCTTTGCAATAGTTCAATTGTTAAAAAAATTGTTCAGTTTTTACAAGCCCCATTTTATAGATGAAGAACTTAAGGTACAAAGCAATTCAGTAACGTGCCTGAGATAAGTTGGCCAGTAAATGGTAGGAACGGTCTGACTGCATAGTCCTCACTTAGGTACAACACTCAGGTGTCTCTGTCTCATTGATAATAAGAAATGAAACACCACTTTTATGACTCTGGTGAAACTCATGGCAAATGGACAGGTGATTCAATTGTTGCTAAAAATATATTTTTCATCATAATATCTTCTGTTGAAAATATTTTCTTCCTCTTTCACCAATTTGTGAGACTTTAAATTGTGTTTCCTCTTTGAATCCGTCTCAGAATTTATTTGTTATTATAGAATAGTTGTTTTCCAACTTTTTTGAGCATGACACCCCACGTGAAATACATATGAAGTACATTAAATAATATTTACATTGACAATATGTGATGAAATTGGATATTTTCTATTCTAATCTATTCTGTTCTTTTTAATGCTGATTGTATCCCACTAAATTGATTTCACAATCCACTGATGGGTCATAACCTGCAGTTTAAAAAACACTGCCATAGAAGATTAAAGAAAATCATGATTGCTCTAAGAAATTAACATTTCTAATCACTATAATGAACATTATATTTATGCAGCAATTGATGCTAATGGGAATTTATGCCATTAAAAGATTATAATGTGTCGATTCTATTTTGTGAAGGCTTTTAAATGTTCTCAAATGTTGACCCAGTTGATATGTGAAGGGTATCAAGCATAATGCATTTGCTGACTTCTTTGGAGGCCAAGAGCATACTTATATCAGTTTCAAACTCTGCAATGTGTTAAATTATTCTCCCTATGTGTTTTTTTAAAATTATGCTTGTGCACGTAACATGGCTTAATATTTAAGTTTTATAATTATATTTAGTTTTCAATTATCTAATGCATGGAGAATCTTTGTACAGTTCATTTTTTATTCCGAGAAATCTGAGAAATGTCTGAGAAAAACCAGAGGCCAGGAGGAGGAGAGAGCTACCCACTGGTCCATACATCCAAAGGCCAAAGGCAGGAAATCAGGAGGCTGTGAGAAAAATGCATCTTTTCTGCTCCTTGCTTCTAATTCCATTGGCTTTGATCTTCTTTAGGAGCCTCATATTATGCATTAGAGGATACTGTTTATATGAGACAGACTTATTAAGCGTCTGTTCAGAACTGAAGAAAGAAAGGAGACAAAAAGAATGTTGTTTCAGGCTGGGCACAGTGGCTCACGCCTGTAATCCTGACACGCTGGGAGGCCAAGGCAGGAGGATCACTTGAAGTCAGGAGTCAAGACCAGCCTGAGCAAGAGTGGGACCCCGTCTCTACTAAAAATAGAAAGAAATTTGCTGGACAACTAAAAACATATAGAAAATATTAGCCGGGCATGTCTGTGGTCCCAGCTACTTGGGAAACTGCGGCAGGAGGCTTGAGCCCAGGAGTTTGAGGTTGCTGTGAGCTAGGCTGATGCCACGGCACTCTAGCCCGGGCAACAGACTGAGACTGTCTCAAAAAAAAGAATGTTGTTTCAGAGATGTAAAAGACCCATAGTTCCTTCAAATGGTGACCTGGGGTGGCATTGGAGAATAATCAATGTCATATTTGTCCCTCACACTAAGGTGACTGCTTGACGAGGGTGGGGGTCTGACACCAGAGACTATGCATCCTCCTCCTCCATCAGCCCTCTCCCGCCCCTGCCACACACAACCCGGAAGCCCCAAATACGGGATGTCCAGTTATTTCTGGAAGTTTCAGACACAGACCAAATAATTTTTTAGCATAAGTATATCCCAAATATAACATATACAAAAAAAAAAAATTTGCTCATTATTTGCCTGAAATTTAAACTAAACTGGGAACCCTGTATCTTTATTCGCTAAAGCAGGCTACCCTACTCAGAGGAGATCTGTCACCAACGCAGGGGCAGAAAGGGGGTGATCCCTTTCCTCCCCATCATAAGGGTCACGGCCAACACCCCTGTAACAAAGACAGGTTCAAGAGAAAAGCATAACAAATGTATTTGATCGTAGTTTTCCCTGACACTGGAGCCTTCAGAATGAAGATCCAAAGATGCAGGGAAAACTATCCGTTTTTATGCTTAGCTTCAATGACACATGGACAGGTGTGTAGAAATATGATTGGACCAAAAAATGTCTGATCTAATTAATGCTGATAGGCTCCGTGGGGAAACTGGGCGAGGCCTGTTTGTTAAGATTCTTCTTGGCCTCTCTGTGTAGCATTCCTTCCTTCTGGGTGTGAGGTAAGGGCCCTCTAGAATGAGAGTCTTAGCTTCTTTATGACCAGCTGTTAAACAGAAAGGTGGGGGAAGGAGAGAAGGAAGGTTAGAGTCATATTTTTAGGTTTTATGGCTGGCTTTGGGGAAAAGGGGTTCTGGTTTCTATGATGCCCCTTTGGGGAAGAGAGATTCCAGTTTCCGTGGCTTTCCTTGGGAAAGAGTGAGGCACAAGAGGCCGGAGGGCAGGAGAAGCCAGAAAGAAACTTTGCTTCTGAGGCCTTCAGTTTGGGGTTATCATTTTCTGAGCCCCAACACCATCAATTCTTCTAGACCTCAGACACCTCAAGAGGGCCTGTGGGAAGAGTAATTCAAGAATCTAGGGAAGTTCCCGATTCCTTCTATCCGCCTCCAGCTCTCAGCCAGCCCTGCCTTAACCACTTCAGTACCAGCGTCGACTACAGTCGACAGCCAGAGATGAACGAGC